GAAATGATATCTTTAATATTTTGAGTCTTCAAACCTATTAACACAGTATGTGTCTCTGTTTATTTAGATCTTTGATTTCTTACATCAGCATTTTGTACTTTTCAGCATACAAGTTCTGTGCGTGTTATGTTGGATTTACATCTAAGTATTTTATTTTTTGGAACAATATTTTTGGTATTATGTTTTAATTTCATTGTCCATGTGTTCACGCAGTATATGGAAATACAGTTGATTTTTGTGTGTTTATCTTGTCTCATTGACCTTGTTGAACTTATTAGTTCTGGGAGTTTTATTGTGGACTCCTTGGGATTTTCTATGTGGGCAATCATGCTATCGCAAATAGGGACAATTTTGTTTCTTCCTTTTTGATATGTATGCCCTATGTTTCCTCTTCTTGCGCTGGCTAGAACTTACAGCATTATGTTGCATAAGAGCAGAGAGAGTAGATATCCTTGCCTGTTCCTTATCTGAAAGGAAAGAGCACTCAATCTTTCATCATTCAGTATAATGTAGAGGGTTTTGTAGGTGCTTCTTTACCAAATTGATTTTTAAATTGGTGGTGCAGAAGATTGACTTATTGATGAGGAAGGGTCCCGATGATCTTATGAAATGGTCAGATTGTCTCTGTGGCTAAAAAGATCAACTGTCCTGTCTTAAAATATTTCTCCCAATCTGAGTAAAATTCATTAGCTAGACACTCATTGTTTTGAGTAAAGGCATATTTTTAATGCACATCCTCTAGGAAAGCTAATCATTTTATACTGCTGTTACTCTTACCTTTATGGGACAGTTTATTGGTTTCTTTTCTCCTTATCCAAGCATCAAAAGCATGGGATGGGTGGAGGAAGAAAGAAGGAACAATTTTTGGAGTAGGGAATGCTTCAGTTGGGCAGCAGGAGGTTACTGAATGCCTTTTCTAGTTGAAGCACAGACAGGAGCATTGAAAAGGATCTGAAGCCTAATTTAACCTTTTAAAAATTTGCATCATTTTTTATATTAAATAACTATAATTTAAGAAGTACAAACACTACATCTGAGTTTATTTTATAATTTATTTTCAAATGGTTATGCATCTGTTTAATATACTGCATTTGTTAATGCCTCCTCCAAAGCACATCTTAAGGGAAGCAAAAACATCCTGCTAATGATAGCCCTTTACTCAAGAATGACAGCATGTCATTATTTTACTTAAAAAACGAGGAGACTGTATAACACCAAGTTATAAGGATGAAACACAAATTATATTTCACACATACACACACAAAAACCCAGATAACTTTTACTTCTTTTGGAAACATAATTATAGTATTTCATATCTTGTCAGGTTTCACAGAAATGTCCTAAGTAATTAGCCCATATAGACACTAAGAATTTGAAAGCATTATTACATATTTTCAGTTGTAGTTTTACTTACAGAAAATTCAATAATAGCATTGAAAACTTTTGTTCAATGTACGTATTGAGCATAGATCACTCAGTGATCCAGGTTATACTAGATGAAGTCTGGAGACTACTCTTATGGACCTATTATTTTATAATTTGATTATCTTATTTCCTAGATCATAATGATACTGTGTTTTGTCTTTCTTTGCTGAACTTCCAGAAGACTTGTTCTATAAAATGTATTGCTTCACTTATTTTAGTTTTCCCCCATGATCGTTGTGGTATAATAACATTCTAATAGCTTTCACAACTGTGAAGCTTATGCTATTTCTGTTTTGTACATCAGACTGCAAATAAGCTCCACCTTGCAAGAATTTTCTTTAGAATAAGGATAGGGTACTTTGCCAGGAGCAAGATGAGAACTGTGATTAATGGGCAAAAGGTTAAGGATGAAAGTGCCTTGGAGTAAGCAATATAATTTTCAAATTGATGAGAAGGAATCAAAACTCAAGATGAGCAAAGGGATTGTAAGAAAATACTCATCTGCTCTGAATTAGTTCAGGTTTCTTGATGCGGATGAATTATATTACTGGGGACTGACAATACTTTGAATGGGATTGCAGAATCACTCTAGGTGATCTTTGAGGATATGTAGAGAGTAAAATAATGTACAAATGTTATTCCATGTATAAAATGACCATAAATTACAACCAGTAAACTCAATTTCAATGCCAGGCAAGATTCCGCAATATACTATCAAAGGATGATTTGTGAGGATATATTGGAGAACCAATAAAATTGGACCAATTTTGTGTTCATCGAGAGAGCAAGCAAGTAGGTCCTGCCTTTCCATTTTGTGTAGTTACTAGATTTGGGAACTGTAGTAGGCATAGAATATATGGACTTTATGAAGGCATTTGACAAATTTTGTCATATTTCTAAAGACAATGTGAATAAATATAAGCTGGTTAAAAAGAAAATGAGGTAGTATAATAATCAGTTGAAGAACTGTACCTGAAATGTACTGAGTAATGGATCAGCACCAACCAAGGAGATGTGACCTGCTGTGGAGTCCTGTCCTCAACGTTGTCACATTTAACGTTTTTTTAATCAGTGGATTCTACAGTTACCAGGTTTAGGAACTGTAGTAAGCATAGAATATATGAATTTTATGAAGGCATTGGCAAATTTTGTCATAATATTCTTGAAGACGATATGAATAAATTTTGGTTGGTTACAAAGATAATTGGGTAGCTAGCCCTAAAGATTTCCTAAATGCCTGTGTCTTCAGCACTTATGGGCCTAGTTGGCTCATTACAACTTAGAGCTTGGTTCTTTTGGGTATGATGTCCAGTCCTTTTCTACCAATCATCCGTGAGTAAGGTGGATGGGTAGAGGGAGTTTTAGTCGCATTACCAAACAGAGCACCCAGAACTGAGGAAGGTAGGTCTCTAAAAAACATTGGAAGGAATGGATTGGTATATTCAATAGAATGAGATGTGGTTTGCACTGCAGTATTTAATATTATTATTTTTTAAAATAGGGGGCTTTATTTAACATAAAATGCAGTTATAGTATATAATAGCAACATATGAGTGCTAAAAATACAAAAGATCATTGTAATCTAAGGTCGCATTAGAAGATATTACTAATGATATCACTAATGAGATATTAGAGTGAGGGAAGTTTGAGGCCTCTCTTATTCCATTTTAGTGAGACCAGCCACACTGAAGTATTTAGTTCTGGGCACCATAGTTTGAAACAGATAGAACACAGGAGCTAGTTCCGAGAAAATTATCTAGAATGAAGAAGAAATTCAAAACCATGTCATACAGGAAACAGCTGAAGGAATTAGAAGTGTTGACCTAGAGAAGAGGAGATACAGAGTGTTCCTGATAGCTGTCTTCAAATACCATAAAGAGTCCTGGGGTTGTTCAACATGGTTATGAGGATGTCTAGGACTGGAGGATGCTCCAGAGAGGCCGATTTGGGGTCAGCGTGAGAAAACATCTCTGTGTTTGGTATCAGTGGCCATCAGAGAGTGATAGAGTCACTCTTAGAAAGAAATGGAATTAACACACTGGAAGGAGAACAAGGAGATTATAGGCTCCAAGCAAGACCAGCCATTTCTCCTGGGAAATGAGCTTTTCTTTCAGATGGAGCTCTATTTGTCCTTTGGAAGAACCAACTCTATCCTGTGTGCCCTGCTCCACCCTGGGATTGACTAGCCAGCCCAGTCTACCTGCCAATATGACTCTCTGAATTGTCTGTAGTTCTGGGAATCACGTTTTGTAGGGTTCATGTGCGGGTGAGTGTGTGTATGTGCGCAGGTGTGTGCGCGTTGCGGGGGCGGGGGGTGGTCACTGAGGCTCTGGGCTCAAGGACTATAAATGGTCTCCTTTTTGGTGAAGTAGAGAATTGAAAAAAAAAAAAATTCATTCATCTGCATCCTGCAGTGCTGCATTATGGTTTTTCATCTGACTTTTATTATTTGAGTTTAAGTGAGAAAATTTTTCCTGTAGAAAATTTATTATTTTGTTCCAACCCACTCTTGTGTAATAGCATTGATAGGCGTCACTCTTAGTTACAGGAGCCATTTCTATAGTCTTAAGAGAGGTGGTATTAAGAGTAAACACTCCTCCAATAATCCAAGTGTTGTTTTCATTTTAGTGCCCTGGAGCAAATATTTAATGAAGCTGTCTCTTTTCCTTTGTGAACAGCAAAACAGGTAGAGGCTACTTGAGGAATATTTATGTACTTGACACAGAAAAAAAGAATCACTTCTCCCTTGACTTTGCTAAAATTCTACTTTTCACTGCCCTAATGTTGACCAGAGATGTGAACATTATATCTGAAGAAAGTAAGAGGATTTAGCTGAAGTACACATTGTAGATAATAAATATGATACAAATGGTCACAGGTATAGGTGCTGATTTTAAGAAGACCTGGATTTAATCCCACCTTCTCCACCTATCAACTGGTTATTTAACTTCAGTAGTCTTCTTATCTATGAAATGGGTTTAACCATAACAACCTGAGAGGAAAAGAACTAATTTAGGGAGATGAGATTAGGTTCAAAGAGTTTTTTCTATTTGTGGTTTTAGGACAAAATGTTAAATTCTATAAAAATCATAAAATGTTAAAACTGAACAGGAACTTAGAGTTCATTTGGTCCAATGCCTTAATTTTATGAATGAGGAAAATAAGATTTGAAAAAGCCAAGAGGCATCTTCGGGGTCAAGTGCAATTGGCAGTGAAGGGCCAGTGATTTCTTCCTACTTTGAGGAAAAATCATCTTAAAACAAGAATTGTAAAGATGTTTTCATTTTAAATTTTATTTTATGGAAAATATTTCAAGAGTAAATCTTTCTTAGAGATACCATGGAGAAATAATTACTCTGAAAGACCCTTTTCTAATTCCAAGATTTTGTGCAGTCAATTTCATTCCAGTTTTAAAATTTTATCTAGATGTAGGCAATGTTGTAATTATTACTTCATGACAGTACAGTATGCATTTACTTTATTTGAGCAACATGGTTGCAGTAACATCTTCAGTTGAACTTTATTTTTCAGAAATAAAAAATATCATTTTAGTAAATATATGTTCTATTTTCTAGATGTCCCCTGAAGAAAAAGTTTGTAAGTACTGTGGAGTCAGCTATCTAATACTTCATGAGTTTAAAGCTATGGAAGAAAAAATGAAAGCGATGGAAAAAGAGATGAAATTTTATCAAGGAAGTGTAGAACGTGAAAAGAGACTTCAAGAAAAGCTGCAGTCTCTTAGCCAAGATTTTGAACAGTACAAAGTTGACAATGAATCCAAAACAGAAAGGTTGGAATATGTTATTTTTTTTCTGTCATTTATTTAGTTTGAAAGTATGGTGCAGAAAATAAATAGGCTTTCAGTGTTCTTCTAGAATTTCTCTATATCAGGTATAATTTATACTTTAATACATTTGAGTTTGTTTATTAATAATTACTGAGTATAATTATTAATTATAGTTTGAGCATACTTTGAGGCATATATTTACTCTCTGAATGATTAGAAACCAATTAATTCAGTAACTGTATGTTGAGATGAGTTAAGTTTTATGTTTCCCCAGATAATGTTTTAATTTTATCATTAGGAAGATTTGTCTGAAAAATCAAGTAAATTTTGGTAGTTTTTGATAGCTAACATTTGTTTTAAATGGCCTTGAATATTTAGTTTTATAGGATAAGGTTTTCATGTTTTGAAAATGATTTCAAAACATTAAAATTGGTACATGATTCTAAGTCACTGAAATAAATTGAAATTGAAATAAAATTAAATAATGGGTTCCTAATGCTGTCTAATCAACAATTTAGTTTGCCTAAAGACACTTCAGTGAGCTTGTACAGACACTTCTATAGAAGGGTTTTTAGCTTTACTTTTTTTCCTATGAATGAATATTTCTCCATTTAAAATGGTGACAGTTGGTGTTTAAAAACCTTGAATTAATGAAGTTAATGAATATGTCTTTTTAAAAACAAACTTTCTTAAATCTCTTGGGATTAAATACTTCTATTAAATTTTATCACAGATTTTGATAATTACATTAAATGTTAGTCGGGCCCAATATTTCTTAGTTCTTTATCGGGAAAATTTTGTTATAGTGTTTTAAATTTCAGACCTGATAATAAAGTATTTCATACTATTTGAGTGAAAAAATAAAAAATTTGAAGTATTCAGTTTAGAATTTTAAATTTGGAGGGTTTTTGCTTGTCAGAGAATCTTTTGTTTAGTGTTATTCACACTTTCTTTAACAAAAGATTGTATCATATAAGTACATAAATACACCAAATAAAACAAGTATATAGAAGAAAAGGCAAGAAAGTCTCTTTTTATACTTTCTTCTTATTGGAGACAAAACCACTTTTAATGGTTTGCTATGTCTCTTTCTAGATTCTTCATTGTGTCTTTAACTATATTACAGATATCTTTCTTTAATATGTATTATATATAAGCCATGTAATTTTAAAAATATTTATCTTTTAATAGACTAGTTTTTAACATATCATTGTGCGGCTTTTACCACTTAACTATATATTTTGGAAATTTTCTTGAATATATTCTATATATATAGATATATATACACATGCACATATTTATATAAGTCACATTATATGCAAATAGTGACTATATTACCTTTTTATTTCTAATAGTTATACCTCTCCACCTCTTACCCTTCTTTTTTGTCTCTTCAACTTGGATTGGACCTTTAGAACAGTGTGGAATAGTAAATTTGTAGAGCGCATCTTGGTCCTATTTCTTGGTCCTATATCCTATTTCTGATTTAATGTAAACCCATCCAGTGTATTTCTGTATTAAATAGGATATTTGCTATAGGTTTCTATGTTTACAGGTGAGGTTGGCCTGTAGTTTTCTTTATAAAGACTGGCTTATACTAGCCTCTTAAAAAAAGTTAAGAAAGCTACCATCTTTTATGTGCCGCAGACATTTTGAACAACACATTGCCACTCTGGTAGATCTCCTTCATAAAAAAATGTGTCTTGTATCTTTTTTGGGTAGTAGAATTTTGATGACCTATTATGTTTCCCTATAATTATTGGTTTATTTATGGATTTTTACCTCTTCTTGAATCAATTTTGGAAATTGATATTTTCCCAGAAAATCAAGCATTTCCTTAACATTTTAAATTTCTTGGTATTTAGTAACATGTAGTATCTTTTTATTTAAAAGTTTTCCTTTGTATCTGTTTTATCTTCTGTCTTTTCTTGGGTTAATTATTTGTGTTTGAGGGAGGGAAGGATGAGAGAGGAGAGAATGAATGAAGGATAAAGAAGAGAGAAAACTTTTTTCTAGGATTTTAGCTTAATAGATCAAACCTATTTCTTTTTATTTCATTAACTTATACTTTTATTTATATTTATTTATTATCCTTTAGAAATATTAGTTTTCTTATGAGTTACTTTATCGAGGACTTGGTTAATTTATTTTTATTCTCTTTTTTCTAGTAATTCCATTTAAAGTTATCGAATATCCCTGTGGGAACAAGGTTTGGCAACAACAAACATTTTGATAATAGTGTTTTGTTTTCATTTACTTTTAAATAAGATAGAAGTTCAGTTTCTATTTACTTTTTCATCTAAGAAATTCTTGGAAGAATATCTAAGTGGATAGATTGTGGGCTTTTTTTTTTGCTATCTTTTTGTTTATGTTCATTTTTATTCCATTATAGACAGAGAATGTGAGTTATTTAGAAGAACTTATCTAGAACTTAAACTGAGTTTTTGGAAATACTTCATAGCTATTTGAAAAAGATACATATTCTTTGTTTTAGAGATATAGTTTTTAATAGATCCATTAAGTTATACTGGTTAAATGTACTATACAAATCTATATTTCTTTACTTATTTTTGACTATTTCATTTGACAGATCATAAGGGAATATTAAAATCTTCCAAAATGAATATAGATTTGTCAGTTTTTAGCCATTTCAAAGTTAAATTAATGGAATATATAGAACCTATCTTTTTTTATTATATATATTAATAAGAGAATATTTTTCTTGAGCTATTTCAATTTTTTTAACATTTGATTTTTAAAATTATATTTTATCTCCTTACACTTCACAAACGTTTTATATTGACTTTTAAAAAATTAATAAACTTTAATTTTTAGAGAAGTTTTATGTTTATAGCAAAATCTAGTGGAAAGTACAGAGTTCTCAGATAGCCCTGTCCCTGCACACTCACAACTTCCCCCACTATCTACATCCCACACCACAGTGATACATTTGTTACAATCAGTGAGCCTACATTAACACATCATTATCACCCCCAAATCCATTGTTTACATTAGGGTTTACTCTTGATGTACATTCTGTGGGCTTTGACAAATGGGTAAGGCCAGGTATCCACCACTGTAGTATCATACAGAATAGTTACATTGCCCTGAAAATCTCCTATGTTCTACCTGTTTGTCCTTTCCCTCCGTCTAAGGACTGGCAACCATTTATCCATTTGCTGCCTCCATAGTTTCGTCTTTTTCAGAATGTCACATAGTTGGAATCATACAATATGTAACTTTCTTCAGATTAGGTTCTTTCACTTAGTAATATGCATTTGAGTTTCCTCCATGTTTTTTCATGGCTTGATAGCTTATTTCTTTTTAGCACAGAATAATATTTCATTGTCTGGATGTACCACAGTTTATTCATTCATCTACTGAAGGACATTTTGCTTGCTTCTACTTTTAGCAATTATAAATAAAGCTGCTATAAATATCCATGTGCACCTTTTTTTGCATAGACATGCATTTTCAATTCCTTTGGTAAACACCAAAGAGTATGATTACTTGATTACTGGATCATACGGTATCTATAGGTTTTTTGTTTGTTTGTTTGTTTGTTTTGGTAAGAAATCACCAAACCGTCTTCCAAAGTGGCTCTATCACTTTGCATTCCCAGGAGCAACAAATGAGAGTTCTTGCTACTACACCCTCACTAGCATTTGGTGGTGTTGGTATTTTGGATTTGGGCCATTCTAATAGGTGTGTAATAATATCTCATTGTTTTAATTTGCATTTTCCTCATGACGTATGATGTTAAACATCTTTTCATATGCTTGCTGTCTGTATATATTTCTTGCTGAAGTGTTCGTTCAGGTCCTTTGCCCATTTTTAAATCAGATTGTGTATTTTCTTGTTGAGTTTTAAGAGTTCTTTGTATATTTTGGATAATGGTTCTTTAATAAAGAACTGTTGCGAATATTTTCTCCCAGTCTGTGGCTTATCTCCCATTTCTCTCGACATGTCCTCTGCAGAACAGAAGTTTTTGAATTTAATGAAGTCAAGCTTATCAATTGATTTTTTTCATGAATTTTGCCATTGGTGTTGTATCTAAGAAGTTACCACCGTATCCAAAGTCGTCTAGATTTTGTCCTATGTTGTTTTCTAGGAGTTTTATAGTTTTGCATTTTACATTCAGGTCTATGATCCATTTGATTTTGTGTAGGGTATAAAGTCTGTGTCTAGATTTTTTTTTTTTACATGTGGTTGTTTCAGCACCATGTGTTAAAGAGACTGTTTTTACTACATTGCGTTGCTTTTGCTCTTTTGCCAAAGATCAGTTGACTGTATTTATGTGGGTCTATTTCTAGACTCTCTATTCTGTTCTATCGATCTCTTTGTCTATTCTTTCACCAGTGCCACACTATCTTGACTATTGTAGCTCTATAGTAAATCTTGAAGCCAGGTAATGTGAGTCTTCCAGTCATGCTGATCTTTAATATTGAGTTGGCTATTCTCTCTTTTACTTCTTCATATAAACTTCAGAATCTGTATTCACAAAATAACTAGCTGAGATTTTGATTGGGATTGGATTAAATCTATAGATCAAGTTGAGAAGAATTGATATTTTGACAGGACTGAGTCTTCATATCTGCAAACATGGAATATCTCTCCATTTATTTAGTTCTTCTTTGTTTCATTCATCCAAGTTGTGTAGTTTTCCTCATATAGGTCTTATACATATTTTGTTAGAGTTTATTAGGGTTATACTTAAATATTTCATTTGGGGGACACTAATGCATATGGTAATGTGTTTTTAATTTTATATTCCATGTGTTCATGGTATAGGAAAGTTATTGACTTTTGTATATTAACCTTGTATCTAGCAATCTTGCTATAACTGTTTATTAGTTCCAAGAGTTTTTTCATTGATTCTTTCAGGTTTTTGAATATCATACCAGCTTTGGAATAAATCCCACTTGGTTTTGGTATATAACTATTTTTATATATTTTGCATTTTATTTGCTAATATTTTGTTAAAGCTTTTTGCATCTATGTGA